ACACAGACAAACCCGTAACAATATGCGTTTTGTACTGCTGTTACACAGCACAAAACGCATAATAACGGCAAAAACAACCTCAGCAAGTCCCGGCTCCACTTTTATGGTAACATCCTTGTGACCTCTAAGAAGTCGTGTAGCAGTTTCTAAGGTTCGATCGAATGGCGAAACAAAAACATGATCTAAACCAATCCGATCAAATCGAGCGCCCAACTCATCCGCTTGCCCTGAAAGCTCTGATGCAGTGAAAGTAAATGATTTACAGAAAACAAAAACTGCTCGAATTATCAATTTGATTATCCCATGTTACTGGGATCTTCGCAGAGCGCAGCTGTACCAGGCCCTCCGATCCAGGACTGCATGCGTCCAGTTACACCGCTTATTTCAGTATATGCGCCAACTCCCTCAGCACAGCTGCACAGAAAAGGACAGCACGGTCCTTCTGATTTGATATTTGAGGACATCGGCGATGCTGTGAAATTTGTACTGACCACCAGCCCCTCAACGTGCAACCTTTGTCTGGTGACTGTGCTTACCCCACTAAAATTTTGGCGGGAGAATTATTATCTCAGGAAACACCAAAGCCAAGAAGTTGAAATTTTGTGGTAATGTGCCTTACTCACATACAATTCCGCAAAATTTAAACTCAGCGCCTTCCCAAGCCCAGACATCACCTACGGTTTCGTAAAGTTTTGGCAGGGAAAATTATTATCTCGGGAACTACAAAAGCTGGTAATCTGAAATTTTACGGCGACTTCTCCTATCAACGTACGACTCCCGTAAATTTGGATTCAGCTTTTGGGCACCACGTACGACCACGTGAAAATTCTAGTAGGGGAATCATTATCTCATGAACTGCAAAAGCCATGAAGCTGAAATTTTAGCGTAGTATGCCCTGCCCACGTACAATATCGCAAATTTTCCACGTTCCCGTGGAAGTTTTGCCGAGAAAAACCATTATCCGAGAAGCTAGAAGAGTTAGGGGCTGAAAATTTCAGGGGAATGTTACGTAAAGGCTTCACAAACTCAAATTCAGTTCTAAATATGTAGGACCACGTGGAAATTTCGTCTCAGAGATCATCTGAAAGCCAAAATTGAAATTCTGCAAGGATATTCACCTTTCGATGTTTCATATTCAGCTTTCACGTACCGCGTGAAGTTTTTAACTACTTTTCAACAATTCAACTATCTCTGCACAGGCTAAAGTGCAAAGCAGCGAAAATCATTAAAAGGCAATCGTCCCATGGACGGACCTGCATAAAACGCATGACCGCACCGGCTATTCAGGTGCGCGCTGCTATTTATTTCGCGAATACTACTGGTAGTAAGAATGATGTCATCAGAAAAAAGTAACTGTTTTAGCTGCTCGCCACTGACCTTCAGTCAGCCTTTTCAATATTATTTCTGCGTATCGAGGCAGGCCGTAAAACGTTTGGGCGATACGGGGCTCATTTCTCGACAGGCATGCGAAATGAAGTGGAAAAAAATGCTGTCTGTCGAGCAGATATAGTTCCCAACAATTCCATCATCTACAAGAGCTCGTAGCACAACATCCATCTTTGTGCTATGGAGTGCTTTTTCTAGCACAACATCAAGCTTTTACGCCACGCTTTTTCGCAGTTGACATAAAGAGAGAGCAAATGTTCCCTTGAACATTCCGGAAACTGGTTTAGAACGAAAATGCATTCACTGCATTTACTTCGGATTCCAACTTGCTCCCTCAGCTGCTGTTCATCGACTGTTCTGTTAGCCGGCAAGTGATAATCCGGGCGCAAAATATAAGTAAGCTCAACGGGAGGCAATTCATAAGAACATCTTTATCGCCCATTTTGCGCAGCAAAACCATTTTCGACTCCTTCCACTTACTAGGTATTTTTCTTTCAAACAAGTACTGACTGAACCGGATGGCCATGGCTTTCCGAAATTCGTGCCCTTCGAATCTGATCAGTTCGATGTTAATGCCATCAAGTCCTTTACTGCTGTCATTGGACGGTGGTGCAGCAACAGTTCTCTCCGGAATTCCTCCAGGCCCTGCTTGCTTTGAACTGTCTCTGTCTTCCGTCGATAATCACAATTTCCGAGATTGCCTTTTTACTTTCGTCTAATACACCTCTATAGAAGGGAGTACTCCACGTTTTAAGTTTTATACCCTGTCATGTTTTTGCACTTCTATAACAGCCTTTTCATAGCTACGGAAATTTTTGCGTTTGACTGCCGAAACTGGGTGCATCCCAGTCGCTTTGCGCAAACAGGAGGCTTAACAGCACGGCATCGTCAGTGCTCTAAGTTACGACGATCCAGTAAGTATTCTCGATCAATCACTTTATCTCCACACCACTGGCTTGTCTAGGCCTGCTATGTTGACTTGTCGCATGCAGTATCCTTTTTTCATGACTTGAGACAATATGTATTCTAGCCGGAACAAGCAGTGGTGGCTTCCTAATGAAGCGTTCTGGAGAATTCATCAAATATCGATCAAGACGTAATCGACTTTGTTCGCCTTTGTACTTGGCGCAAGTCAAGTCCATTTCCGTCCCGCATCCCTCCGTAACTAAACACTGTCACAAACATTTTGTTCTCTTGAGCCAGTGCAACTAGTTTATCATCTCCATCGTTTCTCTTACCATTGCATATTTGCCAATGTGAAACCTTAACGACCATAATTCATGATTAATTCGAGTTCGAGCTCAAAACAGAACTTAAAAACCTCATCGCCACTGGCCAAGATAAGATCACAGATCAGCACGATTTTGAAAGTCCGATTAAAATATAGCCTGAGAAGTACGCCGAGCCGTGAAAAATGGAACTGACAAGAGATGATCTGTGAAGACTATTATCCACTGGTGGTAATCCGATTTCATCACCTTATGCCTTTCAGTATACAGGGAAGTCGTTTTTCCATCCTTCTGGATTGTGATGTGTTCGGTCTTTCGCCGTGTTTCATACACGCTATGGACGTCACATGTTATTCTAGCGATTTCCTGAAGAAGATCCGTGAGTTCAATCCATGACAGGAACGTGGAATTGTAGGCGCATACCGAGAAAATGAAGCCATTTAGCATCCAGCAAAGATTTTTGGAGCCCTCGCTCTTCGGATACCAATCGGCTGTCGCGGACCAGGCCGAAGGAAGCGCACTCGAGCCCCACTTTTCCTCCGCTTATGGAAGCGCACATTTTTCTTCGCTCATGTTAGCCCCTATAATGCATTGTTGAGCGTACATTAAAGTTTCTGCATTTTTTCATTGATGGCTGCTGCAAACCAAGTGATTGTCAGGCTGACATCGGTTCGTACAGCAAAGGCGAAGTCTTCGCCTTACCTCCTTATCCCCTACTCGAAGTTATAAAACATAATAATAAAATACTAAATAGCGAAGTGTACCAGGCTAGCTGGTGCGATCATGAATTTTGCGCAGTTCCGTCCAGCGAACGTTTGCTTACTAAAAATATAGCTGTTTTACAATTTCACATATGGAAAAACAAGAGGAATTTCTCACTGAAAATTTTACGCGCCGGTACGTGAAAGCTGTATTTGAAAACAAGAATGGGGGACATCCCTCTAAAATCCATACTTGTAGTTTTTCGACTTCCGAGCTAGCGGCTTTCACATCACAATTCTCACGTGGTCTTACGCAAGACTTCTGCATACTTGGGTGCTACATTTGAGTTTGCGAGATACCTGTAGCGGCAGAAAATATCGTCCTGAAATTTCAGCTTTCTGGCTTTCATGGTTTCCGAAATAATTTTCCGTCACGGGACCGTACGCGATACTCAAGCGCACGAGAAAACATGCTAAATTTTCTGGGTTACACGTGCTCCAAGGGGCATACATATAAAATTTCAGCTCCCTAGCCTCCGCGATTCCTGAGATAATGATTTTGCCCGCTAAAAATTTACGAGGCCGTGCATTTTACCCGCAGGCACGGGGAAGTTGAGTTTAAGTTCTCTGGGTCACAGTGGGCAGAGAACATACTCATAAAATTTCAGTTCCCCAACTTCAGTGGTTCCCGAACTAATGATTTTACCCGCCAAAAATTTTACGAGGCCGTACGTGTTACCGCGGGTACAGGAGGGTTGAATTTGAGTTTTCTAGGTTGTACGTGGCCAGGGGGCATACCCATAAAATTTTAGCTTCCTAGCTTCCGCGGTTCCCGAGATACTGACTTTACCTAAAAAACTTTTATGGAGCCGTACGTGTTACCAGCGGGTGCGGGAAGGCTGAATTTAAATTTGCCGAGTCACTCGTTGGCGGGGAATACTTATACTAAAATTTCAGTAGTCTGGCTTTTGTGGTTCCCGAATTGGAAGTGCGGGACAAAATGTGGAACACACACACACACACACACAAAGACGAACCCGTGACAAAATACGTTTTGTACTACTGTTACATAGCACAAAAAGCATAAAAAGTTGAGTCATCCGATGACGTTCTGGCTGAACATCGGGAAGTGACGTTTCTATCGAAAATTGGATCTCCGACAGGGATCCCACTCTTCGTTCTCAAGCCACCCTTTCCCCACTGACTTTCTCATCACAGACTGAATCAACGATGGCATAATTCATCCCTGACTGTCATCCGTTCTGGAATCCTGGATTCAGAGATTGTAATGTGTGATATCTACAACAGGAAAATCAGTATATAGGCCTGGCGATCCAGGATCATTCGTCCGCGTTCACCGACTGAGTACCCTTCGTCAAATAATCTATTCACACCACTACTGGTGATTCGTCAATCGCTAACCTTGTTCAGTCCCACTGTGTATCTTTCCTCTCCGTTCAGCCTAGCACTCCAACTGGTCTCTTCGACCCGTCGACACACCCATACGCGCTAGCAGAATCAACTCTCTTAACTGTATCACCCAAGCCTAGCCGAGCAAACGCGGCTCAGCGCCTTTTCAACATGACTAGAGTTGCCAGCGTTGTACCCCGTCATTTCTTAAAATGGCCAGCCCGCGCCACGATCAACTGCCCAGGCTGGGATTCTGCGGAGGAAACAACTGAAAAATCTGTTAAAAGATGGAGACTGCAAGCGCACAAAAATTTCCGGTGCAATATCAAAGGCTTATTTTTCTTGTTTGAGAAAAAATTCAAGACTAAACTACACATAAGCGTTTAAAGGACTTTCTCTTACAACATTGATCGGCTAGTCCGCACATTCGTACACACAAACAAATACCAATTTTCTAGTATTTCCCACTTACTGCTGCCCTATTTCGTTAGCTGATACACACCCTCCGCCAACAATTGCACCACTCAACTTCCACATATTCCTTGCGTTGTTTGCGTTCTACCCGTACCGCTACATCCTCCTCATTTTCTCAGCCTGAGAAGCAAAACAAAAGTAATGGAACGATGTTATGGCGAACAATCACGCTGGCCACAGTAAACTACCTTTTCTGCTTATATTACTACTTTTCTAAGCATCTTATCCTTTTCCAACAATTCTTTTCATATCCTCATTTCTTTCTCTTTTCTCCTCTCTGAACACCACGCGACCGTCGTACTGACGAGGTCCAGTCCTGGTGTTGAGCTAAAACGCATATGACTTTATTGGGCCGAAACGTCTTAATTCACTATTTTCACATTCATTCATCCGCAGTTAGGCCCATTGCCTTCGCTCCCCGCGTTTCTAGCATCTACTCGTATGCTGTTTACAATCCGCTTCGTAGAGCGATACATTCAAAGAGGGGAATGGCAGCTTCTTTACCACTTAACAGATGCACCTGCGCAGAAAGAAAAGCCCGCTGTGTGCGGCTCCGACGTCACTGGGAACTTTGGGCCATGGGGTGACGAGCTTTCGTCTTGAGCGAGTCGGTCAGACCTATTCGAGGCACGGCTTTTTTCTCTGAACAAGAAGCAAACCCTGTCCACGTTTCGACAGCGGCGAATTGTCGCCCTTCAATTTTGAAGTGGTTCGCCAAGCCGAACTGATGTTGTCTTCTCGTTCCGCATGTCGCACCACCCAAAACGTCATCGCACCCATTCCGCCCAATTCTGCAACAAAAACAAAGAAACGCGCTGCTAGCAGCACCTCCGACGCCACGATTCAGCACAAGCGGACAGGCGAGGGCGCCACATCCAGGAAATGAGTAAGCCGCTCATGAACAACCACAGCATTACTGCCTCACACAAACACACACACACACACACATACACACACACACGCACACACATACACGCACACACACACACACATACACACACACACACGGACAGACACAGACAAACAGAAACGCGTACAGCGGGAACTGGAAGACAAAGTTTGCTTCGAAAATCACTCCCGGTAATGCGCCCAGGTGACCAAAGCAAGCGGTCACGCACCAACACATTCGTGCCAATGGTACGCCTGTTGATGGCCACCCCTGCCTGCACGGCCGGCCGCTGCAGCTCACTGCCTCTACTTCGCACCTCGCTGTTGAAAAGTGGAGAAAGCAGGGAGAGCACTCGCTTGACGAGCCGCCTCCACAGGGCAACTACTAAAGCTCGACTCGGCCGGCCCTCGGTTCGCCTCGGCTTTACCTCGCCTCGGCCGGCCTGGGCAATCGCCCGTGTTGCGAATCGATTTCCTTACAGGTTTCATTTGGCTGGAGTGGAGGCAGGGGCGGTCGCTGAGGTGCTGGTGGAGGGGGCTGGGGATCTCG